CACCCCAGCCGCCTCCCTCTAAGACAGGGGATCTGACCATGTGACCAATGGCGGTGAAAAAGGCGTCGCAGAAAAAAAAAATATATATATTAACCACAATGGTAGGTCAACCACCAACCAGATAAATCCTAGTTATGTTAGTGAGTTAGTGACCTAAAGCAACTTGGCGATTCCCAGAAGTTCGGTCCCCAGCACCTGGGGGATTTTCCAAGGCTTCGATGTGGAAAATCCCACCATGAAAGGAGATCATGAAATCCGAATGTGATTCACCATGGCTTTTCCACCTCTCTTTCGATGTTTGGTGGTTTCAAACATGTTTTTCTATATGGGATGATTTTTTTTCTATGTTTGGGATTTTCATGAAATCTTTCATGATGGGAATCTTTCATGTGAACATTTTTTTCATGATTTTTTTTTTCTATGTTTGAATCACATTCGGATTTCATGATCATGGTGGGATTCACCATGGTTTTTCCATGGATTTTCCTCCTCTTTTTCTATGTTTGGTGGTTTCAATCATTTTTTTCTATATGGGATGATTCTTCCCATTGACGAACTCCATCATTTTTCAAGATGGTTAAAACTACCAACCAGTTTTTCTATGTTTACCCTCTGGTAATTTAACATAGCTATGGAAAATCACAATTTTTAATGGGAAAATCCACTATAAATGGCCATTTTCAATAGCTATGTTAAATTACCAGAGGGTAAAACCACCAGTTTTTCTATGTTTACCCTCAGGGTCTTTTTTGAGTCAGTCCCTGAGTCAGTCCCAATCCGATTGCCCAGAGGCCAAGTTGCCGCCGAACTTACATCGCGATGTGATCCTCTTCAATTTGCGGCGGCTTGGATGAGCGGCTACGCGGCTACCCTGGGAATTCATGCGTAAAATGGAGGTGTTAAAAGGGAAAAAACAGAGGAAAATATGGGATTTCATGGGAAAATCCCTTTTTCAATTGTGTTTCAATGGAAAACTACGGAAAAGACCATTGAACTGAATGGAAGGTTTTCAAGCACGCCATGTTTGATTATCAGAGGCTTAATGTGAAACCAAGAATCCAATGCCACTGGAAACCGTTTTATCTCCGTGATTGGTCAACAAGTTGCCCCAAACTCAAGAGGTTTCCGTAACTTTTGGATGACTTTAGATGACTTTAGATGACTTTAGATGACTTTAGATGACTTAGTCAGTAAACCATTCCGCCCATTCCCCCTTCTTGTGGCACTTTTATCAACCATTTCAAAGGCGCTGGACTGCATCGGAACTGCTGGTTGCTGGAGCAATCGATGCGGCCGAACTGCAGCAGATGGTGCTGTTTCTTGGATTTTTCTTATGTTCAATGGGAATTTCAGGATCCTAAAATGGAGCCATATTTTGCGGGGATATTCCCTGAAATTTAGGCCTAAAAAAATAGGCCTTATATATGGTAGGTACCTCCAATCAATCGGTTCCTGAAATGGCCATTGATATGTGTCTTGGTAAATTTAAGTTTTTTGGTGGTTTGGAACCATGGAATTTTATGACTTTCCATTTCATATATGGGATGTCATCCGAAAGCCACGGACGAACTCCATCATTTTTCAGGATGGTTATTGCACCACCAACCAGTTGTAATGACCTCACTGTGACCTCACTGAAGCCATGATAAATCATGGTTAGGATTTAGGGAGCTATCCCCATGTAGCCTGATGTCAGGTTAGGTTAGTGAATTGTTATCGTTCTTCAGATGTTTAGTTTGTGGCAACCCCAGGATGGTAGTTCGGTGATGTTTTGGCAACCCACATCTCTTCCAGGCTTCCAAATCTTGGGCTTCTTTCGGGGGTTCCAAGATATGTAATTATCCAATGAAATTTGGTTTGGGTCTTTTAATGAAAGAAATCCATTCGTTGTTGATTCACTCTGGGATCATTATATAGATTAACAATGATGTACTGTAGATGCATTTCACAAAGCTCCAATGATGATAGCGGCTATATGCTCCCTTGCAGATGGGAAAATTGCTGTCTCACACCTCTGGGACGAGATGTTGGTTTCTGGTGAAGAGAACTCATATATGTTTCAATGGCTCTTTATCTTCGGGTAAGCATAGGTAGTTCAATGGTGTTTAATGATAGGGCAAACCCTCTGGAAGCCCGGGCACTTCCTTGGGACTATCCATTGGAACTATCGATTCTTGCCCAGGGGCCGGCCGCGAGGACCATCTGCCTTAAAACATAGCTGTCTTATGCGTGAACCAGCAATACATTCCGGATGATTGCTGAGTTTTTGAAAGTGCCACGGCCAAAACATCGTTGATGTTCCCAATTTTTTGGAGGGTTGTCATCAATGATAATACGTGGCTGACGTGGCTGAACATATACCCCATTGAGGAATCCCATTCACACATAACGGATTCCTGAAATTTTGGGACTCACCATGTTCATGAACATATTAATGAAATCCCCTCCCCTATTCACACTCGATTCATGCTTGTACCCACAACATACCCATAATATCCCCTTACTGGCTTTATTCCAATAGCACTCGTCATAATACCACATTAATATCCCACGAATACCTGCGGGTTTTCATATGTACTTAATATACCCAATATTAAATTGCTTATTCAATAATCTATTGATTTGCCCGAGACATTGCTGATTTTTCGCTAGTCTCCCTATCGGTGGATGGATGTAGCTTTCTTCTATGTATATGCCCCATTGGATCGCATGAAAGTTGACACACCCAGCTATTATGTATACAATGTATACCCATGATATACCATATATAACCATTAAAATATATGAAAATACCATATACATACTCATATATGTACTTAATATACCATATATATATACCCATGAAATAATTGCTCATCTAATCTAGCGGCCGATCTCCGAGGCCCCGCGCTCTTCAGTTGGCTCAGGCCCTCCGTTTGAAGGGTCGTGGACCTGCTCGTCATGCCTTGCCGGGGATTAAGCGAAGTCTCTACCGCGAGGTGCCCCAAAGCCAGGGGATTTCTATGGGATTTCCCTTGGGATTTCCTTGGAAAATGACCTGAATCAGCTTGGAGTTTTGGTGTTTTTGTTGGTAAATCGTTGTTGATATGGGTGTGTATTTAAAGGCGATTTTGTCCAGATTTTGGATGACATTTAAGTTGGAACGTTTCTTCTTCAGATGGTTGAGTTGATGTTGTCGAAATATTTCAGTTGGAATTCGGGGTTCAGAGTTCTGGTCACATTTTCCTCTTAGGTTTTCAGAATTGGAAAATGTGGAACCCCTCTGAATGTGGATGATCACAGCCTGAAACCAACACGTTGATCTTGTTTTGTTTTTTTGGTTTGCTGTACCCTCCAGTAAATCAACATAGACCCTGAAAATCAACCATTTTTAATGGAAACTAGTCTTCCAACCCCTATCTGCCAGGGTCTATGTTAATTTACCAGAGGGTAAGTTTTACTTACCTCAGACCAGCTAAATGATTTTGGATGTTTTCCGTGAGGAATTGGAACGTGGGACATCCCCTGCAAAATTGATTGATCTCAGGATCATTAGCACATGAGAGTGGTTCCGCATTGGGGCATTGCTATTGAAGCCATGGCCCATAGAAAGTTCGTTGATTTTCCCATTAAAAAAAATGTGATTTTCCATAGCAAAATGTTAGTTTACCAGAGGGTAGCTCACATTCATACTTTGTCAAAACATCTCAAAGTCCGTCATGAAACTGACTCAAGGGTTATATCGGTTATATCCCAACTCAAACTTGCGAAGGTTAAAATTCTATGGTTATATATATTATATATCTATATGAACATCTTTAAAGATCACCCCAATTGCAGCCCCTACAGTAGTATATCTATGAACATCTTTCAACATCACCCCAACTGCAGCCCAAGGTCAAGTAGGGACTTTGCTGCTTCACGGCAGGTATTGGAAGCGATGAATGCAGGTGAGATGAGCTTCCCCGGCCGTGTGCGAGGGGTGGACCGCGTAGCGAAGCTCTGAGAAAATCAGGGGAAACGGGTCAGCTATTTGGGGCGGGTCATGGGTGAAAATGGGATGGCCAATGAAGTGTGATCACAAAAGTTATCGCAAGACAAATTCAAGCTGGTTGGTGGTGACTGGAACATTTAGTATGGGGTAATGATGGTTAATGATGGTTAATAATGGTTGATAATGGTTGATAATGGTTAATAATCACTGGTTGGTGGTTTGGAACCATGGAATTTTATGACTTTCCATTCAGTTGCGAATGGAATCATCATCCCAAGTGACGAACTCATATATTTTTCAGAGGGGTAGGTCAACATAGGTCAACCACCAAGCAGCAAGAAAATATGATTCTTGACAAACTAGAATGGAACCTAAGTGTCAACTTTGGGTGCCATTTGTGCTAATGATTCGTGCTTTTTAGTTTCTCAAGGCGCCATTTGCTTCAGGCCTAAAATGGACCCGGCCCGGGCAAGATTTGGTTAGGATCTAGATCCTATGAGAGAGGTATGTTGAAAAAAATGATATTGCAAGCATCGAAGTCAGGACGTGAAACTTACTGAACAAAGTATATAAAATTAGATACTATTTATTATTATTCTTATTATTATAATATATATATATACATATTCTAACATTATATGACCCCGCTGAAGGTGATGGTTTAGTTTCCTTCTGGCAAATCCACTTCTGGGGGAATGCACACATAGAGTATTTTTTGGAGCATTTTACGCAAATATCAGGTAACACAAGTTTTTGGAAAGCCGAGATGCTGGTTACCCTAGCTTAAATATGGTTCTATGAGGCGGTGGGCACAGCCCCAACAGGAAGATGTGTGGCAAACAAGTCACTACAAAGTCTGCCTGCATTTTAGACCTAACTATCACATCATACCCCAAGCCCAAGACTTCCGGAGAAAAAGAGGAGTTCATAAATGCTGCAACACGTGCAGTCGTTCACTTGAAAACATGAAGAAAATTGGGCCCCCACAAGTGAACTCTGCACCCGAACAAGTCATCCATTGGAACAGATGTTCCGCCTGTGCTATGCGCTATTGGCCCTGCTTTGCCATTGCGAGCCCGTATCTGACAGCTGCGGAACAGAGGCATGTGCTGCGAGCAAGGCAAAGGACGCAGCCATGCTGGAGCTGGCGATGGCAAAAACGTGTTTTTTGAGCATTGGGAAATGGAGAGAACCCAGATACTTTTGGGGTTTCTGTGTTCAAAAGCTTGTTTGAAAACGAGAGATGCCTTGGAAGCGCTGATCCGAACAAAAATAGGAACAAAAACTTGGGCCAGGACTTTTGGGCAAAGATCAAAAGTGAAGGCATCGGGGGAGGATGGTACCGGAAGATCTTTGTCTGTTTCATCATAGGACCAATGTCAAGGACCCCTGTCATTGTATAATATACCATGCTGGCAAAACAATAGTAGACCATTCCCAGTTTTACCATAAATATCCATAAATGGGTTGTATAAACCAATGCTATAGGCTATATTGGTGGTTTATCAGTGCTTTACCCAAATTACACTGATAGGAATAGTTTGATGCTCCTGAAGGCAATGGGTCACAGTGTATCCTGTGATTGGAATCCATTTTGAACAGCTTGAGCACCACTTGAGATTTTGTTTCATTTTTATAACTAGATCTTTCTTTGCCTGCTAATCATGTTAGGCAATTTTTAGGAGCCTCTATATATATATATATCTCTTTCCGGCGGCATACTTGATCATTTGACTCTTAAGTATTTCGAGTAACTGGATCTTTGTTCACATGGCTGCAGATCACTGGGTACTGAGTTTTTGAGAGTACAATATAGGCATCCATGTCGTCATGTTTTCGCGAACCCACTATTTTTTTTCCCTCAACCCATGGGAAGATTGGCCAATCATCACATCATATCACATCCACTTCCTCCTCGCCAAAAACAGGTCTGCAGCTCAATATCCGTCCAAAAGTGTTCGAGGAGAAAAGCTTTGGCGGTTTGCCGGCCAGAAATCGCACTGCCATGGTGCGTTCCTGAGTTCTTCCGCGCATTTCCAGAGACAGAAGAATTAACAGTAGATACATCTGGGTAAATTTGCTCACGACTTCACGTCGCGACCTCACTGTAATCATGGTTTTTATAGGGGAATCATCCCGAAATGGCCGAACTTTTCAGGTTAGTGAATTATTATTATTTACCCAGATACATGTCCAATTGTTATGTGGACTAGCATTTTGATGCATGAAACAAGTCGTCAAGATTTGAATTATAGTTAAAATGAATCTAATGTAATATTATATTATGGAGGTTTCCTAAAATAGGGCTACCCCAAAATCATCTGTTTTTTCATGGTATTTTGCATTAGAAACCATCCATTTTGGGTACCCCCATTTATGGAAACCTTTCATGTAGCCTTCGGTTTCAGGATTTTCCCAGCAACTTATGTCGCAGTAGTTCTTGGACTTCCAGGCAGTGCCGGCAGTCGAGGTCTTGTCTGATGATGTTTTCTATGGCCGGGCCATCATGAAGATACCTCGGCAGGCGGGACCTTTAAATCTATAGGGATCACGTGGCGATTTTCTGGGTCGGAAATGGTGGATTTGTGAGATTTTCCGATAAAGATTGCCATTTGGAATAGGGATGGCCGGAAATTTTTATGTGAACAGAATGGGATGGAAAAGATGGAAAGGGGTTGCCACTGTCTCTAAAACTCAACTGCTGGGAATCAAACATGGCAATGGGAAATATCAGGACATCACGGTCTTGAATAACTCGAATGATTGTCAGCTAAATCATGTGTGAATGGGACATTTACTTCTAGGCTTGCTTGGCAATGGCTTGGTGAAAGTTCGATGTCATCAAGGGACAGCTTGAGCTCGCTTGAAGGCATCCAATGGCCGGCCATGCAACAGGAACCGATTGATTGGAGGTATATACGGACCACCTGTGGGTTGTGGAAGGGCCATTTTTTGAATATCCATGGGTATCCACCAAAACTGGTTGGTGGTTTGGAACCATGGACTTTTATGACTTTCCATTCAGTTGGGAATTTCATCATCCCAACTGACGAACTCCATCATTTTTCAGAGAGGTGGCTCAACCACCAACCAGACAAATTATGGCCAAGAATATAGCGTAGCTCCATTTTGAGGCCCTGAAATTCCCACTGGAAATTCAAGACCACCTGATGTGGTGGCATGCGGAGGCCCTGCTGACCTATGAGACTGGAAGAAAACCAAAGCTCAAAGATCAGCTGACACGTTTCCCGTCAGGGTTAGGGGTTAGTGACTGTTAACATATGTCATGTGTTACAAGGCATCACAAGATTCTGTTCGAAGCAGGGGCCAAGATACATCCGGTCACATTAGACTCATTAGACGATGCTTGAAGATGAGAAATGAGATTTTGATTCCTGGCAGCGGGTCTTAAGGCTCCCTTTTGAAGACTAAATCAGCCAACTGCCCTCAGAAGTGTCAGATTGTGAGGTTTTTTATTTGAGGAGAAGCCGCTTGACTGGACTAAGCCGCTGGGGGTTTCACACATGGGTTGCTTTCAACGATAAAAAGACGAGCCGTTCGATGGTGTTTGACGCTGTGAATATCACAATGGTGAAGTTTTTGTTCTGTGGCGGAGGGACCTTCGGCCGAAAATTGTGATAATGCAAGCATTCAACACTGTGTTACAGATCCAGGTATACTTTCCACTGGGTTGGTTCCCAGGGTTGTTCCCTTTGATTGCTGCGCCAATCCTGACATATGTCTTTGCAATCCTGGGTGCAACGTAATTTTGGGGCCAAAAATGGTGGTCCCATCTTATTTCTTGTCTAGGAAGTAGGGGAGAAGTGTCTTTCTGGCACGGCCCCAAGCAAAGGCAGTAGGGGCTTTGAGGTTCCATGGCAAATAGTGCGCAGTGATATGCCAACCCTAGCCTCACAGATTGCGAGGAAGCTCCAGAAAAGCTTCAACATCACCAGCAGCTCTCCCTTGGAAGGGGATGGGAAGGGGCTGAGGAAAAGTGTTGTTCCCTAAAGATTGGCGGGGTTTAGTGGACAAGTCCCTAAACTGTGGATATTTTCTAGGTGGAAATTGCAGGAAAGATCTGTTTAGACAGGGTGATTGGGCCAAAGATTGTTGGGCCCCTGCCCCGGAAGGTGGTGGCATAGACTTAAAATTTCAGACGACTGGATGGAGCAGAACAATCAACGAACTTGTCTGCCCGCTCTGGATCCTTTTTCTCGTTTCAAAGATGGCTCTGATGTTTCTTCGAGCAAAAACATGCCCATTCCCGACCGTTGATCCATTGATCCGCCCATGGGCATCATGGGCCCCGTCTCCAAGGCGAAGATTACATTCACTTGCTCAGCCTAGCCTACACGCTGATTGCTGAGAGGAGAGATTCAGATTCCGTTTTTGTGGACTGGCCGCTTGGAACATGCACTGGACTGGATGAAGGTCATTTCACGCCTGACCGTGGGGTTCCTACCAGCGTGGTGAAGAAGTTCCCCTGGGTTTATCCCAGCTTATCCGTTCATCGGAGTGATTTTCCCGTCATCAGCCTCTTAAACCCCACTACAAAATACTACAACTTCTTATTTGAGAAGGGCATAGGCTCACACCATAAGTGGCCCATAAAGAGTTATAGTATATCTGGTTGGTGGTTTCAAACATTTTTCATGTTCCATAATAATTACATTGGATAATTCTTCCCATTGACTAACTCATATTTTTCAAGATGGTTAAAACCACCAACCAGATATGCTATAGTGATATTTCCATAGGCTGGTTACAACTCACTGGGGCCACGAGGGTCGCCATTTTCAGAGATTTTCCCAGCTCCGGAGATTTTTTGGTTGGGCAAACACAAGCCATGGATGAGGACACCACGGGGTACCAACCTAATATGTGCCATGGGTCAAGACTATAGGGATGAGGATATCCATGACAAGGATTCCAAAATTGACATGGATGACCATGACATACCATAACCGTTCATAACCATTCATAACCCACATTTTGACCATGACACATCTGAATCATATTCATTCATAGTCTATATATTGAGTTGGTTGGTTTAGATATTCCAATTATATCAAACAACATCCCAGTGATATGCGACATATTGAGCTGGTTTAGATATCCCAGTTGTCATAGCACCCGAAAATCGTTGGTGCACAAAAACCCAGTTCCCAAGCATCAAATTGCTGGGTAAATGTGATCACGATTTCACGACCTCACGTCAAATGATGGTGAGGATATCCCAAAATAGTAAATGGCCTCAATTCAGGTGGTCCTTTCTTGCGGGGGGCCGGCCAAAGAGAAGATCAGTGGCCTTGATTCAGGTTGCTGAATCATGATGGTTTACTAAGGTTTACCCAGAATCCCCTGGGATCTCCGGACGTTCCCTCCACGTGCTGAGGTTGAAGGCCACCGAAAACGCCACCGTCTTCGCGCTGCAGCTGACGCATCGGCAGCAGAGGGTGCTGCGAGGTACTACGGTGGAGGGAGCCATTGAGGTTCCTTGGGCCGAGTTGATGAAAGTCTTTGGATCGGTTTTGTTGGGAAAATTGAAACCGGAAAGACCCATATTTGATGGTAAAAAATCATAGTTTCCTGATGTTTGATGGTAAAAATCATAGTTTCCTGTAGATTTTCCCAACAAAACCAATCCAATGAGAAAGGTCATTGGGAATAGCCACCAGCTATTGGAATCCATGGGGAATTTTGGCGAAAGTCTACCTGGCTCTGAGATGGTGATTTTCCGGTAAAACCCCTTGGGAAATCCATGAGCACTGGGGACTTCTTTCAAGAATATGTTTTACCCTCTGGTTATTTAGTTGTTTAACATAGCCATGGTATAGGTGGCCCATAGAAATAGATGGTTTTGCCTATTAGTAGCATGTTGATTTTCCATGGCAAACTGTTAGTCATAACCAGGGGTACTTTTTTGGAGCCCCTGAGGCATTATCGAACTCAATGGGTGGATTTTCCGGTGAACCATGTTTGATTACTGGCTAGGGGATCAAACATTGGTATTTAACCACCAACCAGATTTGAATTTAATGATATCAACAAATAGCGTTAATATATACTTTTGATCATCAACAGCTGATGATTCATAGGCAACACAAATTTGGGAATTTATAGCCAGAAAAAATTGATGTTGTCCAGCATAAATTGGGTTTTCAATGACCGAGTAGAGCTGGTATTTAACTGTTGCACAATCACAAATAACGACCTAGCCGTCAAACCCAAGGAAATAGCCAGCAACCTATTAAGTGTCGTCAGCACTCTTCAGGGTTTTCATCACTAAAATATGGATTTAGCAAGCAAGAATGTACTTTTGAGATCTTTTGAGATCTTTTGAGATCTTTTGGATTACAGAAAACCATGGATTTCCCCATGAAACATTGATTTTTTAATGGGAAAATGACAGGAAACCATGGATTTCCCCCTGAAAAACCAAGATTTTATCCTCCACTTTTCCCTGGGTTCCGCACCAAGCTGCGGCTGGTCCTAGGAGATGTCCTCCCGAAGGGATCTGATTTGGCAAACGGCCTCGAATCTGACCTTCTTCAAGAAGACGCCCTGGCGGAAAGTCACCAGAAACCAGTTATGAGATATTAAAAAATGTATACGGAAAATCATATTGAAATGGAGAATGGAAAATCCTATTGAAATGATTATAAAAAATGTGTGATTTATTTATATATATATGATATGTATATATATATATATGAGCTAATCATGTTCCCCATAGTTGTTGGCAAATGTTGGCAAACCTAGCTGTGGCAAAGCACTTCATAGTTCTCGTGGCTATCCCGACACCAGAGTGTTTTAATGGCTTGTTCCTGGTGTTTAACTTGACATTTGCCATATGTTGTTCGGGTAATCAATGCACAACTGCCTCAGTTGACATTCAATTCACCAAGATTTCTGGGTTTGAGTTGATGCAACTACTGAAGATTTTGGCCCTTTCAAAACTTCAGTATCTTGCCAAATTTTGGGTAGAGTCAGGATGTACCTATATAATTACAAATTACATTGTCGGAGCTTGAAACGTCCTGAAACGTCTTGAAACGTCTTGAAACGTCTTGAAACGTCCTGAAACGTCTTGAAACGTCTTGAAACGTCCTAAAACGTCTTGAAACGTATTGAAGCGTATTGAAACGTATTGAAGCGTTTTGAAGCGTATTAGTCCCATCTTTTGGATGCTGGACAGCCCTATTTCAGATTTTCAGGATATCCCCAAAGAATTCCCCAAATGGGATCGATCATGCTGACAGTTGGAACCAGGAAACCTGTTTCAATGGAAGAAGCATCCTGGGCTTTGGCTTGCGGCTCAGTGTGTCCAGCACCGTACTGAGCTACATGTAGGTAGGTTTGTTCACTAGAGCTCCTGGAAGATATATCCATAGTTAGATGATGTTAGATGGGTGTGTAAATCAATCTTTACTTGGGGGGCACCACCTTGCATGATTCAAGAATCGTTCAAGTGAGAATGCACGGTGGTAAGATGGGTGGAAGTTGGAAGGATGTGCGCAAAAAAATGCATGTCATAATGTTACTTTACCTCGAAGAGCTTGCACGAAGTAGTAGGCAACCAAAGATCCAACCTCCTTGAGCATGCCAACGAATAATCCCTTCACATTGTCCAAATTGCCACGGATTCATAAACATCATCAACCTGACACTAGCTTCAATGGATTTGTGCAAGGGACAATTGACAGGAAACCATAGGACCCCCTTGGGATTTCATGTGAAAAACCAGGCTTTGCTGTGGATTTGCCAATCATTTTCAACCCTGGTGGCTCAATCGCCAGCCCCAGTATTGGTTGGGAAATCAGCCGGAAACCCGGACCAATGTGAAGCTAGAAACAAAAAGGCTTTCCTGTAGATCCATTCCCTTAATCCAATATTTCTATACATCATATCTCATTATATCTGAGCGTATGCCATTATATCTGATCATATCTCATTAATTAATTATCTTTGATCATAACATCTCATTGTATATCATTAGATGGCAACTCCTATATGTTGTATGGCATATCTCTGAGATATTATCAGATCATTCTCAGATCATGATTTTATATAAGGAATCTACTTAACCATATAAAATCATGATACCTAGATTTTGTCATATACTTTGATGGTAATTCCTATATGTTCTATGGTAATTCCTTCCAGCAACCAGCTCCAAGCCAACCTAGGCTGTGATCATGCGCCATGCTCGGGTCGTGCATCCCTACCAGGACCAACGCGAAACACGAGATCCCAGCGCCTCGCCTGACCAGGGGCCACCCAAGGCTTCAGGTGCCCAAGGCATATTTTTTCGGGTGATTTCCTCAGTTTTTTGAAAGGTGGAACATGTGAGACCTCTGAAAAGGTCCATGTTCTTGGAGCTGAATGCTACTGTCTCTCTCTCTCTCTCTCTCTTTCTCTCTTTCTGCTTTGTGATTTTTGTGCATCTAGATGTTGGCACCGCACCCATATCATGTGTTTATGTTTTCAGTAATATATTGTGTCACTTTCAGAGGCGCCTGATGGTTTGAGCGTTCGCCATTTCTCTGCAGTGGACCCCACCCCATGTACAAACTTTCCTCACTAAATCAACTTCAGATCTCCGCCGTGTTGCTGGGTATTTCTCAGGTGACAACTTCCAAGAGATTCTTCCAACCATATGGAGGTTTCCTGAAATAGGGGTACCCCTAAATCATCAATTTTTGTTTGGGATTTTACGTTATAAACCATCCAGCTATTGGGGTAGCCCATGGTACCCCCCCATTTATATCCATTTATGGAAAGCCGAAAAAAAAAATCTTCAGCCATCTTCAAGCTAGTACTTGGACCTTGGACGCCCTTGGCCAGGAATGTACATCTTCCCCTTGGTGGAGCTTCTCCAGGTGGCTTTGAATCCCAATCCGGTTGTCTCCATCGGATTTCAGGAGGAGATCATCATCGACGGCAAACGCGAAGAAGACGTGGTGCTGCAAATCGCGCGACGGGACATGCCAAAAGGAGCCGTTGTTTTTTTGGGCGAACACGGTGAAACAGGATGGGTTTTGCTATGTTTTGCTTGAACATGGGGATGATTCAACTGCTGTTCTTAGGCAATTTCATGGGAAAAATGACGATTATACTATATATTTTGCAGTCAACCATAAGGCCATAAGATTATGATAGAATTTTGGAGGTATACTTAACTTTACTGTAACCCATTTTTAGGCAAACCCAAATCTGTTCACCTCATAGAAAACTTTGGTTGTTTTCAGCAGTCCATGCCCGGGTCCCCTCCCACTAGATACCATGGTTGATTTGTAAATCTGCTTATTTGGGGTCCTTTCTTGGTGGATCTTGGGTATGTCATGTATTTCATCATGTATTTCTATATAATTATATATATGTATATATTATCAGATATCACCCTAGCGATTTTCATATCAACTGTTTCGGGATGCTGGATGATGTCCAATTCACCGGGGTGACGCAGGAGAAGAGATCTTTGCATGGCCCGGCAGGCTGTCCAATTCCGAGATGATCGCACGCCATGGTTTCAGTTTTCGGGAAAATCCCGTGGGCATTGGGCGAAATCTCTCGCAACCACCCAGTTGGAGTGACAACAAGGAGAGCAAAGGTCGCAAAGAGTCTTGGCGCTCTTGGAATGGAGCAGAATCGATGGCCGTTTTTTTGGAATATGGGTGAAACAAACATGTCGCCAGATGTCGAAAGTGGCTCAAAACTAGATGATGTCATTCCAAAGATTTGGAAAAGCCGTTGTTCTGGATCGAAGATGTGACCAAGAAACATACCCTCTGGTGAACTAACATAACAATGAAAAATCACAATTTTTAATGGGAAAATCCACTATAAATGGCCATTTTCAATAGCTTTTTGTATGTTTACCAGAGGGTATGCCCCTGGTGGTAGGTCCGTCCATTGGGCAAAAGTCTATTGAGATGTCTGAAGGGAGCAACTAGTCAGCTGGGCACCACTGACTCCTTTCCTCCCAAAAGATGGAGATGAAGCGGCACACGTCGAAGTTGATTTGGAACATTTGGGGATGGGTCAAAACCTTGGTACCTAGTGAACCCCAAAATAGCTGGGATTTATGGATGTGAATATCCCACTAAAAATGTATCTGAAGGTATTGACCCATACCCATTTTGGAATCTTTTGGACGTATTTGGAGCTTGAACCATGCATTAAAACATCTCAAAACATATAAAAAACAAGTCCAAACGCTCAGTTCCAAGTGCAGAAGTTCAACGCCCCACCTTTTGACATCACCTGACATCAGCGTGACGCCACCTAGTCCCCTTTGCCCGCACCCTTAGGATCCATGGTGCTGCTATATATGGTAACATTTACCATCAATATACCATCAATATACCATCAATATACCATCAATATACCCCAAATGTTAGCATATATACCAGCACCATGGATCCTATGGGGCATGCTAACGAATGGCCGAGGAATACGACCTCTACAACTGCTCCTCTTTGGACGACTTTGAGATGCGCTTCAGCGAGCGAGGTCTGGTGGGATAGGCTGTGGGACAGGCTGCCATGGGAATGCGACAAATGATAAGACGGGTCCGTCCAAGAAAATGGGGGAACATATATTTTCCAATGGCAATTTTAGATGGGAAAATGATGATTTTCACCAGTGGTTTTTTGGCTGGCGGTGTCAAGAAATGGGAGGAACCGAGCCATGCCGAGCCCATTGTTTGATGGGTTGAACAGACTCCGCCACCAACAGTGGGAGCATCGTTGCTGTTGAAGTTGCTCCTATCATTGAGGATGCCCCGAAACTGACCAAGAAATCATCCACCAGAGCAACCCATGCCTGCTCCCAGCATAGTAAAAACTCCATGTTGGAAGATGTATGAGGTGGCCGATGGTAATTTCATGCAAAAAATCACAGTTTGCAGTTTGCTGACTGGAAGATGAATGGAAATGGATACATCGAAGTAGATGTATTGAACATGGTGCTTTTCTATGTTATATATAAATCAATATAAATCACATATAAATCACATATAAAGCACATTCACCAGGGGGTCGGTCCCAATCTTCCTGCATCTCTCCCATAAGTTGTGCCCCCAACTGCTCCACCTGGGAGGCGTCCCTGCGCGGTCCTTCATTCGTTGCTACCGCATCTCGTGGTTTATCAGCAACGGTGCCTGGGATTTTTCTTCAATCCAAATGGAGGGTATTTGATGGTACTTGGAGGCTTCAACATTTACACATATATTCAATGGGAATTTCCCTTACATAGGCCTGAAAAATAGGCTTTATATATATACATATGTATATGTATGTATATATATATATATGGTAGGTACCTTCAATTTAGGTTCCTGAAATGGCTATTGATATATTTAAATTTCCTTGGTGTGTCTTATTGTTTTCGGTTTCCCATCCCTCATCATCCTTCTAAAAATGGATGTTGCAAACCAGCTGCTAAACAAACGTTCGCGACTTGGAAGCCTGTCATTCCTGGAACGCCTTCGTCGACGGTTCGAGTTGTTCTAGTTTGGTTGGGATATGTTGGGATTGGGATGGCTGTTAAACTCGGTTACAACCAGCAGGTTGGTACTCTCCAGCCCTAAAAAATCGCATGCGCGAGCTGAACAAGTGGCCCCCACCTGAAAAGTACACGATGCTCGGGATGAAACGACGGCCTGGCTTAGAGCAGGGGTTGCTGGGAAATCACCCGTAAGTGGACATTATATGATGTCAGACTGACATGTTTAAAGACATGCGCATATAGAAACCTATACAAAGATCGCGGAAAAATCTAGGATGTTACAGATTCTTCGCCCATAATTTCTGTTCCAACTTGTGCGGGGTTGGCTATATAATCTAACATAATCTAACATAATCTACCCTCTGGTAAACTAACATAACTATGGAAAATCACCATGTTTAAATGGTAAATCCACTATAAATGGCCATTTCAATAGCTATGTTAGTCATTACCAGAGGGTAATACGTTTTGGGATCTGACCGGCTAAAAACCCCTCGGTTTTAAGCCGACGCGCCTCACAGTGAGGAAATCGGATTGGCTGTCGTGGACCCAAGCGGATGCCGAGTTGAATCGGGTGATTCTGGAGTACTGTCAATATATGCGACAGCAACTGAAGGACATGAAATGACATGAAAACTCAATGGCCATTCCAGGATCCGATTTATTGGAGGTACCGATTCCATATATAAGGCCTATTTTTCAGGCCTATGTAAGGGAATATCCCCACAAAATATGGCCAAACATATGGTACTAATGTACCTCCATTTTAGGATCCTGGAATTCCCATTGAAAAACTGGGGAAGGTCCGGGAAAAGGCACTGGTGCAGTGCCAGTTTTGTGCCAGTTTTACTTGAAATATAGCCATATTTAATCATAGTTATAGGATGTTGCAGGATGTTATAGGGTTTCCCATACTTATAGGCTTAATGGAGGTAAATACCATGGTTATCTCCACTAATCCCAACTCTACCTTCAAGTAGGATGTCTGTTCAGGGTGTCAGAAGGGCGTCTCATCGGTTAGGACTTCATTGGAGCTTTGAAAGTATACCTTCTTGTGGCAAATCCCCATGAGACCACCAACCAGATCCAACCATCCAGAAAAATATCTCACCACCTTTTTTTTTGGCCACTGGTTGGATCTTGTGACACTGTGACACTTGAGATAGATGATTAAATGAATATTAATGACATTTATTTGACATAAATTGATGCTTCACACTTGCAATCCATATATATATATATGTATACAAAGTTACCTACATGTATATGGGATGGGTCAAAACCTAAATTATTACCATAGTTGTGCTTTTAAACATCCATTACCCTCTGGTAAACTAACATAGCTATGGAAAATCACCATGTTTAATAGGTAAATCAACGAACTAAATGTGTCATTTTCAATAGTTTTTTGTTTGTTTACTAGAGGTTAACCCCCATTTATAGTGGATTTACCCATTGAACATGGTGGATCTTTGGTTTTTTCCATGGCTTTTTGTTAACGTTTACCGGCCATTTCGTTGTAGGACACCATGGACGCCAACACGGCGGAGGACTTTCGGCATTCCAAAGATCCCACGGATCGGGTCTTGTGGCACATGAGATCTGAGGAGTCGCGAACCTTCAAAAATTGCGTGGCAATGTCTAAGAAGATCCAGTTGTGAGATATGTACCAAGGATGGTTGGATCTGGTTGGTGGTTTCATTTTGGTATTTTCCCCATGATTAAGCTACAATCAAAATAGTGGGATGATATACCATGATACCCAAGAAGATCCAGTTGTGAGGACTAGCCTCTGGTAAACTAACATAAACGTTTACATAACTATGGAAAGATCCACCATTTTTAATGGGTAAATCAACGAACTACATGAGATAGTACCCTCTGGTAAACGTGAACAAACTAGACGACGGATGGCCCGAGAGCGTAGAGGAGCAGAGTCTTCTGTTGTTAGTATGGAGACACTATATTACAAGATAATATGATAAAGATATATTATAGGCAGACGAGAAGAGTAGTATCAAGACAATATATGACTAGTACAAGACAATAGTTTGCATCGTATTTTTGTAAAGTTTTTCATACACAGAACTTTTTACAGACAGACGCTTTTGCACACAGAGACTTTTACACACAGACGCTTTTACACACAGACGATTTTACATACAGAGACTTTTACACCCAAACACTTTTACACACAGAGACTTTTACATACACAGACGCTTTTACACACAGAAGCTTTTACACACAGACGCTTTTACACACAGACGCTTTTACACACAGACGCTTTTACACACAGACGCTTTTTACACACAGGCTCTTTTACACACAGACGCTTTTACACACAGAGACTTTTACACACAGACGCTTTTACACACAAGCGCTTTTACACACAGACGCTTTTACACACAGACGCTTTTACACACAGACGCTTTGACACACAGACCCGTTTACACACAGAGGCTTTTACACACAGACGCTTTTACACACAGACGCTTTTACACACAGACGCTTTTACACACAGAGGCTTTTACACTCAGAAGCTTTTACACGCAGAAGCTTTTACACACAAACACTTTTACACACAGACGCTTTACACACAGACCCTTTTACACACAGACGCTTTACACACAGACCCTTTTACATACAGACTCTTTTACACACAGACGCTTTTACACACAGATGCTTTTACACACAGAGACTTTTACACACAGGCGCTTTTACACACAGACGCTTTTACACACAGACGCTTTTACACACAGACGCTTTTACACACAGACGCTTTTACACACAGACGCTTTTACACAGACGCTTTTACACACACACACACGCTTTTACACACACACACACGCTTTTGCACACAGACGCTTTTGCACACAGAGTCTTTTACACACAGACGCTTTTACACACAGAAGCTTTTACACACACACACACTTTTACACACAGAAGCTTTTACACACAGACGCTTTTACACACAGACGCTTTTACACACAGATGTTTTTACACACAGACGCTTTTACACACAGACGCTTTTACACACAGACGCTTTTACACACAGATGTTTTTAGACACAGACGCTTTTACACACAGACGCTTTTACACACAAACGCTTTTACAGACAGATGCTTTTACACACAGACGCTTTTACACACAGACGCTTTTACACACAGACGCTTTTACACAGAGACGCTTTTACACACAGAGACTTTTACACACAGTTGCTTTTACACAGACGCTTTTACACACAGACGCTTTTACACACAGAGGCTTTTACACACAGAAGCTTTTACACACAGACGCTTTTACACACACACACACGCTTTTGCACACAAACGCTTTTGCACACACAGTCTTTTACACACAGACGCTTTTACACACAGACGCTTTTACACACAGACAAGTCCGGCACAGGAAAAATCGCAATTTTACTTCAGTTTCTACCGATCGACCCTCATTTCGTGCGAAAGGGTTGCTTCGGCACAAGTAAAATCGCAATTTTTCCTCAGTTTTTGACGATCGACCCTCATTTCGTGCGAAAGGGTTGCTCCAGGACAAGTCAAATCGCAATTTTACATCAGTTTTTGCCGATCGACCTTCATTTCGTGCGAAAGGGTTGCTCCGGGGCAAGTAAAATCGCAATTTTTCCTCAGTTTTTGCCGATCGACCCTCATTTCGTGCGAAAGGGTTGCTCCGGGGCAAGTAAAATCGCAATTTTTCCTCAGTTTTTGCCGATCGACCCTCATTTCGTGCGAAAGGGTTGCTCCAGGACAAGTAAAATCGCAATTTTACCTCAGTTTTTGCCGATCGACCCTCATTTCGTGCGAAAGGGTTGACGTTTCGTGACTCGCCGCCGGCACCACCCTCGGCCTTAAGAGAGAAAGATAAAGAAGGCGAGAGAGAGAAAAGGGAGAGAGAAAGGAGAGAAGATGTGAAGATGAGCAGATGTGAGAGAAGATGTGAAGATGAGCAGATGTGAAGATGAGCAGATGTGAGAGAAGATGTGAGAGAAGATGTGAAGATGAGCAGATGTGAGAGAAGATGAAGATGAGCAGATGTGAAGATGAGAAGATGTGAAGATAGAAGATGTGAGAGAAAGATGTAAGATGAGCAGATGTGAGAGAAGATGTGAAGATGAGCAGATGTGAAGATGAGCAGATGTGAAGATGAGCAGATGTGAAGATGAGCAGATGTGAAGATGAGCAGATGTGAGAGAAGATGTGAAGATGAGCAGATGTGAGAGAAGATGTGAGAGAAGATGTGAAGATGAGCAGATGTGAGAGAAGATTTGAAGATGAGCAGATGTGAGAGAAGATGTGAGAGAAGATGTGAAGATGAGCAGATGTGAGAGAAGATGTGAGAGAAGATGTGAAGATGAGCAGATGTGAGAGAAGATGTGAAGATGAGAAGATGTTTTACAGACCTCCACTATTGGAAGAACCCTGCGCTCAGACGCTCTCGGGGAAAACGATGGAAAGATCCACCATGCTATCAATGTGTAAATTCACTATAAGTCATGTTCAATAGCTATAATCCAGTTGTGTATGTACCAAGGATGGTTGGATCTGGTTGGTGGTGTCATTTTTTGTTTTAAGAATGGGACTTTTAGGATCGTAAAATGTAGGTAAAATCTTATAAAATGGGATATTACCCTCTGGTAAACGTTAACAAAAAACTATGGAAAGATCCACCATTTTCAATGGGTAAATCCACTATAGGTTAACCTCTGGTAAACAAACAAAAATCTATTGAACATGGCCATTGAAATAATGAGTTTTCTCATTAATGGCATGGTGATTTTCCATAGTTTTTTGTAGGCTTACCAGAGGGTATGTACTGGATGGTTGGATCTGGTTGCGGGTTTCATTTTGGGATTTTCCCCATGATTAAGCTACAATCAAAATCGTGGGATGATATACCATGATACCCAAGAAGATCCAGTTGTGAGATGACAACTCTCTGGTACACACAGAACACATCAAAGAGCTATTGAAAATCACAATGGAAAAAAAATAAAATCAACGAAGTAGATGGCCATGTTCAATAGCAAACTCTTAAATTACCAGAGGGTATAGCGGTTGTTGGTTTGATTGGCTTCGAGGAGTTCAATAGGTGTTTTAAAGCTGTGCTTTACTGATACCTACGAGCGGTACGGAATGAAACTGATTGAAGGGGTATCTAGCCCATAAAACCCCATGTGAAATGGGATTTCCTATTTCGTTCTCAAGGTAAGGAGGACGATTCACCCAGACTTTGACATATTTGGGGCATTGGTCAACCACCAACCACGTAGGCACTAGGAGGAGCCAAGATTGCATGGCCAATAGCTGGCCTGGGCTTTCTGGCTGATCTTCCCAAAGGATTTGCAGTGCACGTAGCAATTACCCCCTGGTAATTCGATGTAGCTATGGAAAATCATGGAAAATCTCCATTTTTAATTTTGTTTAAAGGTAAAACCATCATAAAAATCATCTATAAATGAACGATTTTCCATAGCAATGTTAAAGAAGCAGAGGGTAGTTGGAATTTGTTTCGTTCAATCCCAGCCTGGTGGCTGTCTAAAGACCAAAAAATGGCGCCTGTTGTCTGCGTCGCAGGCGTTGCCGCTGGAGAAAAAATCGCAAACTGGGAATCCATCAGTGGTTGCGCCTCCATGGAGTCTGGCGTGTTGGTAGTTTTGTGAGATATGTTTGGAAATCATGTGCGTAAAACAAATGTGATAAACTTTAAACCATCCCCCAGTCATCACCATGTTTAAAACCATTCCCGGTCATGGGTGGTTGATGACATTGTTTTACCCACATTAACCATTCAATAACTATATAATTATAGTCATTAAATAACCATATATAACCATTAAATAACCATATTTTTATTGGGAAACTTGGATTTGATTCAAGGACCCAAGGCACGATACCGGAGTTGCGCCACCCCGCTTTGGAGTCTATGAAATTTTACGCTCGTTCAACCTCCCGAACACCATAGCTGCCAGGAATTCCTGGATGGATGCCCCTTAGGTATCTTAGATCACCTTCAATTTGTACTAGTTCCTAGATGTTCCTGACTATTTCAATGCCATTTCACCAGACATTTTCGAGATGATTCGGAAGAGCACCTTCAAATTGGGTTAAGAGTGGGAGTTGAGCACCCCACTCAATCCATTGTGTAGGGGAAGATACTTCATTTTTCACCAGCCCTTTCTTCATAGGATGATGGCTGGTAAGACCTCTCAGATTTGCTGTTGATTTCAATGGGGAACCCAAAATGGCAACATCTTATGATCTACGGACCATTTTGGACCTTTTTTTTGGGCAAATATCACTGGGTTCCTGTACATTTCGAGCCAGCCATTGGTCCGCGAACCTTTGTTGCCCCAGCTGCGTTTGCTGCGCCTTGGCGACCCTGGGCCATGGCGATGTTGGGCGCGGCGCCCGTGGCGCCAGCCGTGGCGCCGGCCGTGGCGCCGCGGGCGCCGCTGACGGTGGCGAAGTCCAACCAACCTCGTGAGGCAAGGGATGCCCTGGCTGGAAGTAGCCCTGGCTGAAAATAGATGAACCTTGGGGGAAGTCTGATTTTTAGGAAACCTCCTAAATCGGCCTAGGAAACCAAGGCCGTTTCAGGTGCAATTGATGTTGGCAATTGACGTCGAATCGATGCAGTAGCAAGCACTGGATTTTTACGAGAGGCATTTCCCCTGATTCCAGCCAGCAGACAATTTGTGA